AGGAGGAGGGGTTGCTATGAGTCAGGTCTGACTCAACAGCACATTACAACAACAACATACTTGTTTAAGGAGCTCTGATGGTGTAGTGGTTAAGGTATTTGGCTGCTAAACAAAAAGTGGATGGTTTAAATTCACCAGCTGCTCTGCAGAAGAAAGATGAAGTAGTCTGCTTCCATAAAGACTTACAGCCTTGGAAACCCAATGGGGGTTGCTATGAGTCGGAATCAACTTGATTGATGGCAGTGAGTTTGGTTTGGTTTGGTATACTTGTTTAGTTCTCCTTTCACTTCTCTTAAGAATCATTTATTTCTTCTTTAAAATCTTTCCTTCTCAAACCATCACCTAAATTACAATAAAAGTTAAAAATACATAATAAAATCTTTCTTCTTTTCATCTCCTAATTGTGTGAGTTCTCCAGGCACTCCTTGAGCAAGTAATACCCCTATTTAAAAATTGTCACTAGTGCCTCATTATTTACAGCTTCCTAGTTTTCTGAGGAACACTGTTCCCACCAGACTGTATTAAAAAAACACATGTTCAGCAACCATGGCAAATATTTCTCCCTTGCCTTCCCAGTCTATAGAGACCATAAAATTAAACATTCTCTTTCCTAATCTTACTTCCAGATGGAGTAAACATATGACACAATTCTGTCTAATGAGGCATAAATGAAAATCAGCTAACCCTTCATTCTTCCTACTGCCTTTAACATGGACTAGAAGCAGGAACTCCAGTAGACAAAGGGTGATTGTGAAGGAAGCGCCAAGAGAATTGCAGAGACATCAATCTCAACACTGCAGAGCATTAAGCCTAGATGAGCAACCACTTACCTCCTGAGTTCTTTTTATATGAGATGAATAAATTCCTATTTGTTTGGACTGCCATTGTCAGGTAATCTATACCTTGCAACGAAACACAATGCCAAACTAACTTTTTTTAAAAATTGCTACATACTATATATCCCTCTTGAAACTTCAGAATGCACATTTGTACATTCAAGGAACTGAGAAATATGCAAGGGAAGAAATCTGTCGAATTTTGTTTAATGTAACACCTCCTAAACTTACTTCAGGAGCCCTGGTGGCACAGGGGTTAGAGTGCTTGGCTGTCAACAAAACAGTGATTAGAATCCACCAGTTGCTCCATAGGAGAAAGATGCAGCAGTCTGCTTCCATAAAAATTTACAGCCTTGGAAACCCTATGGGCTACTCTGTCCTATAGGGTCGCTATGAGTTGGAATTGACTTCATGGCAGTGGGTTTGATTTGGAAATTTATTTGATCAAGAGGTCCTCCTCTTGCTGTATGATTTATTAATTTACCATAGAACTATGGGTCCCTAGATCCTTGCTTTTAAAAATGTGGTCTCTAGACCAGCAACATCTGCATCACTTGGAAGCTTGTTAAAAAACAAAATAAAACAAAACAGGATCTTAGGCCTCACCCTAGAATCAGAATCTGCACTTTAACAAGATTCCTAGATGACTCATATGTCCACTAATATTTGAGAAGAAATGCTTTAGGAAACATTACTTTAGAGGATAAAGTACAACTAAGCTTAATATCCTTATGTGACCCATTATGTTAAAGATATCTATGATTATTGTCCTTTAATGCCTATTTCACTAATAAAAATTAGCTAACTCCTCTTAAACACTTTATGGAAGGCATTATTCTAAGTGCTTTACTTGTATAATCCTCATACAAACTTATGGATCAGGTATAATTATAATCTTCATTTTACAGATGAGAAAGCTGAGGCTCAGAGAAGTTAAGTAAACTGCCCAAGGTGACATAGCTGTTAAGTGGCAGAATCCTTGATTTAAATCACTAAGCTATATTGCTTGTCTTACCATCTATCCTTTCTAGGCCACCATGCATTTTCCTGCTTCATTACTTTACATATGTGGTTCTCTCTGCATATAACGATCTCCTCAACCTCACATACAAAGGTCCCTGGGTGGCGCAGATGATTTGCGCTCAGCTGGTAACTGAAAGGTTGGCAGTTTGAATGCACCCAGAAGCACTGCTGAAGCTCCAGGCCTGGTGTTTGGCTTCTGTAAATATTACAGCCAACCCTACTCCAGAGCCAATGGGCTCTCGCAAATTGAACACCTAAGCAAATAAAGGCCCAAACCTCACATACAAGTAGTTATAAGGTTTTAGCTAAAAAGATTAGTTCTTCAGGGAACCTTTCTCATTCCCTCTCCAAAACCAAATCAGATCCTCTGGCTATACATTCTTCTGGCACATACTTATTACTTGCTTTCCTTCATACATATCAGCATTTTAAATTACTTATATTTGTGTAATTATATGGTTAGTACTAGTCTTTGAACTGTCTCCCTTTCATCTGATACAGAGAGGGCACTCACTAAACAGCTCTTGGAAAATCTTGCCTTTACTCATGCTTTAACTCTCACCTGAAAGGTTCTGTCCCTATTCTCCACCTGTCCCAGTCCTATCCAGAAGAAGCTGTAGGGTAGTGGCAAAACACCTCATTTAGCATCAGAAGACTTAGATTTGAATCCTTGCTCCCCTACTTATTAGCTTCTATCTTTGAGCAAGTCACAAAATCTCAGGTTCACATTTTTGAAAAATAGGGATAATAATACCTAATAAGATTGACATAAGAACTAAAATGAGGCTTGGAAAGAGATGATTACACCAGGACACAAACAGATATATGCACACCCATGTGCATCACAGCACTATTCACAGTAGCAAAGAAATGGAAACAACCTAAGTGCCCATCAACAGAAGAAAAGAAAAACAAACTATAGTACATACACACAATGGAACACTATGCAACACTAAAGAATAATGTAGAATCTGTGAAACACTGCATAATGTTGATGAACTTGGAGGACGTTATGCTGAGTGAAATAAGTCAATCACAGAAGGACAAATATTATCACTATTGTAAAAAGTCAAGGGAAGATTTACATATGGAAGAAAATATTCTTTGTTGGCTACCAGGAAAGGGAGGGGAGGGCAGGGACAATCACTAGATAGTAAAAGATGAGTATTGATTTGGGTGAAGATAAAGGTAATATACCAAACTGAGTGACCAACACAATAACACAAAGGAAAAGGAAAACACAGAGAGGTGCACAAAAGGTAAAGACAACAAAGATAAACACTTTTACCTGTACAACACTGCATTATCAGTGATGAAAAACATTAATCTATGGGTAAATAGCTGAGTTAACAGGCTGAATAATTAGGTATGTCTAGGCAATCCAATATACTCATGACCACATGTAAGGTTGGCAGATGATATTTCTACATAAATATTTGTATGTGCTACAAGAATATCCATATAAATAGAACTAACAGGGGACAAAGTTATGATAATTTTTTAGGCACAGTCAACCACCCTGATGGAGTGAGTTGTTAGACCTGGGAGCTTCGGACCATGGTCACAGGGGACATTAAGCTCAATTGGCATAACATGGTACAGAAAAACATTACTCTACATCCAACTTTGGTGAGTAGCGACTGGGGTCTTAATAGCTTGCAAGCAGCCATCTAGGTGTAACCATTGGTCTCTCCTTGTCCAGAGCAAAGAAGAATGAAGTAAACCAAAGATGCATGGAAACAATTAGTCCAAGGGACTAGTGAACCATAGGTAGCATAGTGCTTAAGGCACTTGACTGCTAACCAGAAGGCTGGCGGTTCAAACCCACCAGCTACTCCTCAAAAGGAAGGTTGGGCAATCTACTTCTGTAGTGATACTGCCTTGGAAACCCAAGGAGGGGTTGCTATGAATTGGGTCCAACTCGATGGCACATAACAACAACAACATGGGACCAAGAGACCAGTCAACCACTCAGAAAGGGATCAGTTCAGGAGATCCTGGATACAGTGGTAGAACAATGTGGAACAAACAGAGAATCATAAAAAAAAAAAAAAAAAAAAAACAGGTTTACTGGTCTGAGCAAGCCTGGTGAGATCTCTGAAACTATGGCCTCTAGTAATCCTTCAGGCCTGGAATTGAAATTCGCTCCTGTGACTTCCAGGTAAACAATACACAGGCATATGGGGTAAACATTTACACCAGATAAATACACTTAGAATGATCAATCATGGGACAACAGAAGAGCAGTATTTGCACAGGGAGGTAGCACAGGGGGAAGGAATGCATAGGAAAGGACACAGGTAAGAAGAAGTGGGAAGAAAGCTGTTATGTTACATTGTGGGGCTTGCTGTCAATGTCATGAAACAAAATATGCATGAACTAGTATATGGAAAATGAATTTGTTCTGTAAACTTTCACAGAAATCACAATAATTTTTTTTTTTTAAATGAGTATAACCTGCATAAACAACCTAAACATATAAGATAGTGTTTTTTAGTGATTAAGATCCTGGGTTATGCTTAAGAGCCCCAGTTCTGTAGGCAGAGACGTGAGTTCAAACCTAAATTTGTAATATTTATCATTTATACAGTTTATTTGAGAATCTGTTACTTGCTGGGTTTTATTATGTGTTTTTGTCAGCTGCATGAATATTTAACTTATTAATTATGTATTCTTGTGCTATCTCTCAAATCATGGAATACATTGTATGATTTTTATTTTTTACCCAATATAAGCTCTTATCATTTCCCTTCGCACATAGGAATTAGATAAATATTGAAATTATCATATATTTATTTGGTAAATATATCTTATTTTTTACACTGAAAGTACACTGTGTAATAAAGGTGAAAAATGAAAAATAGTACACAAAGCAATTGCCATCATCAAATATATATATGTATGTTCAGAATTGCAGAATTATTGCTTTTAAACAACTGACTAAAGGAAAGTCCAATCCCAAAAAAAAAGACCAAATGCACTGCCGTTGAGTCGGACTCGACTCATAGCGACCCCTCCTTGGGTTTTTGAGCAGTATCACTACAGAAGTATATTCCCAACCTTCCTTCCGAGGAATGGTTGGTTGGTTTGAACCACCAGCCTTCTGGTTAGCAGTCAAATGCCTTAGGCACTACGCCACCAGAAAGTCCAATAGAAACAATTAAACAATATTTGGAATAAAATCATTTGGCCTAATTTTCATAACTACAGATTTCAAGGAATACCACCATCCATGCCAGGTATACCAGACGACCCCATTATCTGTATCAGCAGTGTATGGGCCTTTGTAGTATAAACCATTCAAGTTTGCAGAGTGACACCTAGTGGGAAAAAAGAAAACACAAAACAATCAGACCAGAAAAATATCCTTCAGAAGCCCCATTATTTAGCTAGCAAATAAAGCATTTGAACTATGAGTTTTGCCATTTTACAGACAATGGAAATATTATTATCAGTTTCCAAAATCCAAGAGGTTTCTACAACAGATGAATTTTTTAAACTGGTGGGTTTTAGTGCTGTAGCATATCTCAGGATACAACTTGGGTCCCTCGTAGTGTATTGAAAAATAAGCATTTCTCTTTTTTTATTATTTTAAATTAAACTCTATTTCTTTGTCCCATCTCATTTTTAACTAATGCTAATACTTTAAATGATGAGCTTTAACAAGATTTAAAAGTATGGCATCCAGTCATCTCAAGAGCCCACCAAGACCTACACTGTTCACACACAACAACAGAGTGAAAACAGAAGAAAAACAAAATACAAAAAATGCAAGTACAGGTGAAAAATATTACACATAGCAAGCAGGGTGCAACGAGGGAAGTCGTGTTCTGGGCAGATCCAATCGAGCACCTAAGTCCCTGTTTTATTTCCCTTTTGGCATGATTGCTAGGAAGCCTACCATTGGAATAACATGTAGGGTTTCCTTGGATTGAAATATAAAGAACAATGGTGCCTACTGCCAGGGGGCTGTGCAGACCCATGAAGGGCAAACAAGTGCCTAGGAACACAAGCAACTTGGAGTGCAGGACACGGTGAAAGCTCTGGTGTGTTGGGAACCTTGTAACACAGCATCCAGTGCGCCCTGGTTCCTGGTTCTGTAGCCCCTCCCCTGAAGTATGGGCCAGACCTAGTGACTTGTTCTAATGAATATGGCAAAATAACAAGATGTCACTTCCAAGATCCAACTATAAAAGACTTCATTCTCAATTATATATTAAGAAAAAATAATTGCTCAAGCATACTAATTTTATTAGATTTTTAATATATCCATTTTCTTTTTTAAGAAAACTATTTGATCTACTAACCATTGAGAAATGTAATAAAAATATTCCTAGCTCTCAGATTGCAAAAAAAAAAAAAAAAAAAAAAAAGACTGCTCTCTCTGGCTTTTCTCACTTGTTTTCTCTGAGGAAGCGCCTACATGTTGTAAGCTGCCCAGTGGAGGAGGCAAGGAGCTGAGGGCAGCCTTCGGCCAACAGCTCACAGCAAACTGAGGCTCTTTATCCAACAGCCTGAGGAGCTGAATCCTGCTATCACCAGTGAGTGAACTCAGAAGAAGATGCTCCCCCTTGAGCCTGGAGATGACCCAGTCCTAGCTGACACCTTGATTACAGCGTCATGAGAGACCCTGAGCCCAAACACCCCACTAAGTTGCACCTAGATTCCAGACCCAGCATCCTTCAGCTTCTAGAACAGCCTGTATTTGGGACTAGATTAGGGGATGGTTGGAGTTCCCTGGGTCAAGAAGTAGCTGTAAGCATTCAGATGTCAACATGGCAGAAAAGATATCAACACTGGGTGACTGGTTTGCTATATAGAAAAAGAATATTTATTGGTGGGTAATAATGATGAAGAGACGAGTTTATGTAAACTAAAAGAACTATTGCACAGAAAAGATGGAAGAGTAAAAAGGAAGAAAGAGGATGATAGATTTAAATTACAATAGTAATAGTTATGGTAAAAGTAGCACCAAGCTTCTGGAAAACTTTACTTTCTCTCTAGCTTTTTTGATTTTTCCACCTGCACAGACCCTTTGCCCCAAGGATAATGCAGGCCCCTTGGGTGGTTCCACTACTGAGTTGCCTTTCTCTGTTCTCCCAGAACCCATATATTTAACTCACAGCCATCTAGCCGATTCTGACTCAGAGCAACCCCTATTGGGTTTCTAAGGTTATGAATCTTTATGTAAGTAGATTGCCTCTTCTTCCTCTCATGGAGCAGCTGGTAGGTTTGAACTGCTAGCCTTCTGGTGAGCAGCCAAATCCATTATCCATTGTGCCACCAGAGCTCCTTCTATATCTTTAAAGCAAAGTAAATGATAAGTTTGTTCATGTTAATATGTATGTGAGTTGTCATTCACATACAAGTCAATCAACTGAGCAAGCAGATGGTTTTGGTTTCCTGGTAGTATTAACAATGATTGTTAGCCTCTATATGGAATTCTGTTCAAAATAAACATTAAGGATGCTTGCAGAGGATGTCATGAAATACAGGTAAGTTTTACATTCTGCTGATAAGTTTTACATAATGCTAATTTAGAAGGTCAAGGGGGGAGGGGAAGGCAGAGGAACAGAAGTCGAAGAAGATGTTTGTTAAAAGAACAAGAAAACCACTAGGGAAAAAATTACCATCACCTTTGATTTGCTAAGAAAGATAACTTTGTTTTTCTGTCTCCTCACACTGCTGCATGTGCCCTAATCCTCTTAGAAATGACCACAAATTAGACGGTCTCAAAACTTTTTTAAAAACTACTACTTTGTTTACAACTTTGATTCAACTTGACATGCCTTACTAACCACAACTAGCTGTGTTTTCAATAAACTTACAACTCTAGAATCAGCATATCACAGTAATTAATGTTCATAATGAAGGCTCTCATGACTTTAAGGAAAATTAACAAATGTCTAGTATACTTCCACTTAATAAGACTGAGGAATCTAAATGCTATAAAAATAATTAGATAATAAAGTTAAAATTTGGATTGTGAAATTTAAATAGTTAGTTCTCATTTATACCCAAAACATGACACTCCAAAATACTCACTTAGCAGAGGTTCTGTAATGGGAAGCTAAAATGTCCAGATACTTGTTTTAAGAGAAAAGAAGTTCAAAGCTCATGCAGTGCCTGTTTGAGCACATCTGCTTTGCAGCCGTAGAAGGCCCATCATGCTATTTTTAAGGAAGACTTTGTATGAAGTTTTAATTTCTGCCTTAAATTTGTAATTACAACCAAGGGAACTGTCTGTCACGAAACCATCTCAGGAAGAGAACAAGGATGTTTCGCTGAGAGAAGAAAAATGCTGAGGGATACAATAAATACCTCCCCATCCAGTACTTGAGCAGTTAAGGTGAAAGGAATTACATTTTCTCTGTAGTTACAGAGGAAAACGGCATATTTCAAGTTGACAAAATGTTGAAAGTCATACAATCAAAAATGGAACGAGCTAGGTGATGAAGTAGCAGTGAAGTAATCAAAAAGAGGGTAGAATTGGGCTTCAGGAATATTTGAGAGGAAATTCCTACATTGGGAAAAGCTTATATTCAATGAGTAAATGAAAATCTAAGTGATTGAAACATTGTTGTTATTGTTAGGTGCTGTCAAGTCATCTCCTACTCATAGCGACCCTACTGTACAGCAGAACAAAACACTGCCTGGTCCTGTGCCAGCCCCATGATCCTTGCTATACCTGAGCCCATCGTTGCAGCCACTGTGTCTATCCATCTCGTTGCGGGCCTTCCCCTTCTTTGTTGACCTTCCACTTTACCAAGCATGATATCCTTCTCCAGGGAATTATTCCTTCTGACAACATGACCAAAAGTGTTGTTGTTGTTATGTGCCGTCGAGTCGGCCCCGACTCATAGCGACCCCTCCTTGGGTTTCCGAGGCAGTATCACTACGGAA